TGGGATGACAACCTACCTGAAAAAAAAATAATGTGACAAGAAAAAAAAACATAAATTGTCCACACTCTTAAATCCTATGTCGTTGGAAAGGGGGATCACAGTCAAACGTTATCAATACATTACCCATGATTTAAATATACTGGAACAAAAGTGGGGTAACAATCTTTTCTAGGAACATTTTCAACAGTGAAAAGTTAAGTTTGGAAAAAATTGAGGGGCCAACCCCCCCCCTCCCCCCCGATACTACATGCCGAGATGTATCAAATATAAACAAGGTGTCAATATGAATTCTTAATGAAGGATACAACATGTAATCTTCATTATAATGCAAATGTTACATCAAATTATTCAAAAGTTGTTCAGTGATAACTCCTGTAAAACAAGTTTATAGACTCTTTAAGCAAAGCATAGGATCTGAAAATTACATTGGTAACTTTTCTTTCATTTAGAAAAATACTTTTAATATTTCATAAATAAAATCGTCGTCTACCAGTAGAAGCCAGACGATAGCATGATATACCACATAGGGAAAAAAACCCTGTACAGCCTGTATTATTGCCCAAGTTGCTGGTGATATCACTATATTCTTGAATGTAAAGCTTTTAATATAAGAAAAAATACACGAATAATATTTATTATTAAATTTATTTTAAAAAGTAGTGTCGACTATAGATGTACATCCAGCCGGAATTCGCGTTGGAGTAAGGAGCAAAAGTGGCGAGGTTACATATCGAGGTCACAGGCACTTGTTTCTGTAATAAATTTTAACCCATATTATAATAATCATTATGCAAAAGGTTAAAAATTTATTGCAGAAACAAGTGCATGTGCTACATTGCCTCTTTCATTAGTCAGCGGCTTATGTACGTACAGGTTGATTAAAAGTACAAAATAATGCATATACATACATTAGCTGCAGAACTGAAGCTCTCCGGAAAAAAAAAAATTGACAGACCGGAGAGCTACAGTGCCACCCATTGAAAAAAGTGGATATTTATTGCGCACAAAAAAGTGCGCTGTTTTATACATGCATAAGACTAGCTGCAGATCTGTAGCTCGCTGGTCAGAAAAAATTGGGATGGATGACCAGAGAGCTACAGTGTCAGGCGAAAAACAAGAAATATTTAAGGCATTTCAGACCTGTTTGCGTTTGAATTTAGTAACACATGGACAATTAGTCTTGGTGATTTCTTTTAAAATAAATCACAATGTATTTTGATCATGAACAACCGTCTTCTTTCGATGTATCAGGCTGAGGACCTTAAGGACCTTATACACAAGGTTAAAGTTTGGGAACTTACACAAGATAAGGGTATTTATAGAAACTGATGACCTTAAATACATACAGTAAAAGTTTGGGGACTTACACAAGATAAAGGATATTTATAGAAACTGAGGACCTTATACACAAGGTAAAAGTTTGGGGACTTACACAAGATAAGGTATATATAGAAACTGAGGACCTCTTACACATGGTAAAAGTTTGGGGACTTACACAAGATAATGGTATTTATAGAAACTGAGGACCTTATACACACAGTAAAAGTTTGGGGACTTACACAAGATAAGGGTATTTATAGAAACTGAGGACCTTATACACATGGTAAAAGTTTGGGGACTTACACAAGATAAAGGGTATTTAAAGAAACTGAGGACCTTATACACATGGTAGAAGTTTGGGGACTTACACAAGACAAGGGTATTTATAGAAACTGAGGACTTTATACACATGCAAAGTTTTTGGACTTACACAAGTTAAGGGTATTTATAGACACTGAGGACCTTATACACATGATAAAAGTTTAGGGACTTACACAAGATAAGGGTATTTATAGAAACTGAGGACCTTATACACATGGTAAAAGTTTGGGGACTTACACAAGATAAGGGTATATATAGAAACTGAGGACCTTATACACATGATAAAAGTTTGGGGACTTACACAAGATAAAGGGTATTTAAAGAAACTGAGGACCTCTTACACATGGTAAAAGTTTGGGGACTTACACAAGATAAGGGTATTAAAAGAAACTGAGGATCTTATACACACAGTAAAAGTTTGAGGACTTACACAAGATAAAGGGTATTTAAAGAAACTGAGGACATTATACACACAGTAAAAGTTTGGGGACTTACACAAAATAAAGGGTATTTAAAGAAAGTGAGGACCTTAAACATAAGGTAAAAGTTTTGGGACTTACACAAGATAAGGTTATTTATAGAAACTGAGGGCCTTATAAGCATGGTAAAAGTTTGGGGACTTACACAAGATATGGGTATTTATAGAAACTGAGGACTTACACAAGATAATGGTATTTATAGAAATTGAGGACCTTATACACATGATAAAAGTTAAGGGACTTAAATAACATAAGGGTATTTATAGAAACTGGGTACTAACACAAGATACAGGTATTAATAGAAACTGAGTACTTTATACACATAGTTAAAGTGATGCATAATAAATGTATAGAAACCGATCACCTTATACACATAATAAAAGTTTGGGAACTTACACATAATGGAAGTATAGAAACTAAGGACCTTACACACATTGTAAAAGTTTAGGGACTTACGCAAGACAAGGGTATTTATAGAAACTGAGGACTTTATACACATGCAAAGTTTTGGGATTTACACAAGATAAGGGTATTTATAGACACTGAGGACCTTATACACTTGATAAAAGTTTAGGGACTTACACAAGATAAGGGTATTTATAGAAACTGAGGACCTTATACAAATGGTAAAAGTTTGGGGACTTACACATAATGAAAGTATAGAAACTGAGGACCTTATACACATGGTAAAAAATTGGGGACTTACACAAGATAAGGGTATTTAAAGAAACTGATGACCTGATACACATGGTAGAAGTTTGGGGACTTACACAAAATAAGGGTATGTATAGAAACTGAGGACCTTTTACTCATGATAAAAGTTTGGGGGCTTACACAAGATAAGGGTATTTATAGAAACTGAGGACCTTATACACAATAGTAAAAGTTTGGGGACTTACACAAGATAAGGGTATTAATAGAAACTGGGGAACTGATACACATGGTAAAAGTTTGGTGACTTACACAAGACAAGGGTATTTATAGAAACTGAGAACTTTATACACATGCAAAGTTTGGGGACTTACACAAGATAGAGGTATTTATAGACACTGAGGACCTTATACACATGATAAAAGTTTAGGGACTTACACAAGATAAGGGTTTTTATAGAAACTGAGGACTTTATACACATGGTAAAAGTTTGGGGACTTACACATAATGAAAGTATAGAAACTGAGGACCTTATACACATGGTAAAAGTTTGGGGACTTACACAAGATAAAGGGTATTTAAAGAAACTGAGGACCTTATACATATGGTAAAAGTTTGGGGACTTACACAAGATAAGGGTATGTATAGAAACTGAGGACCTTATACACATGATAAAAATTTGGGGGCTTACACAAGATAAGGGTATGTATAGAAGCCGAGGACCTTATACACAATCGTAAAACTTTGGGGACTTACGCAAGATAAGGGTATTAATAGAAACTGAGGAACTGATACACATGGTAAAAGTTTGGGGGCTTACACAAGATAAGGGTATGTATAGAAGCCGAGGACCTTATACACATGGTAAAACTTTGGGGGCTTACACAAGATAAGGGTATTAATAGAAACTGAGGAACTGATACACATGGTAAAAATTTGAGGACTTACACAAGATAAGGGTATGTATAGAAACTGAGGACCTTATACACATGGTAAAAGTTTGGGGGCTTACACAAGATAAGGGTATTTATAGAAACCGAGGACCTTATACACAATGGTAAAACTCTGGGGACTTACACAAGATAATGGTATTTTTAGAAACTAAGGACCTGATACATATGGTAAAAGTTTGTAGACATAAACATTATAAAAAAGCAAGGTTAACTTAGGGTTTTTATGGCCCTTTGAATTGTGAGAAATCAAAACTACTCAGTTTTGGTATCATGTGCATTTACTTATCTTTTGGGCCTTTGGTGACTGTATCTATTAAAAATGATGTAAAGAGCTGGGTTCACTTTATCCATAAAATGGCCCTTCATACATACCAATTAACTGACAAAGTCCCAGGGTCCTATTTCAAACATCAATATAAAGGAAAGATTTTCCCCATATCCTGAAAATTCCTTCAACAACGGACAAAAGTTATAGCATTTTTCAAAAATATTTCATATAGAGTGCAATCTCTAATCCATGCAGAGGATATTAAATATATAAGGATCTGTTTCTGAAAAACATGTTTTTATATTTTGGGTTGAGGAGTAAGCTTGTATTTAGTTTTCTTTCAAATAAGCCTGTTTTCTGCAAAAGTTCAAGAACTTTGCAATTTTACAAAGCTTGTTTAATTTCCAATCTCAGGACTCTTTAAGAAACTTTGTTAAAGGAATGAAAGGCACTCTCAGCTTTATTTGGATGTTAGAAATGGGACAGAGGGTGATGGACAATTAACTGATATAAGGACAGGGCTATCTTATGCATAAAGTGAACCCAACTCTTTATATTCAATTCAACTCACTTAAAAATACATTTCACTGTAGATTTCATAAACAATACCATAGCGGATAAATAAAAAAAGAATTTCTGCATATAACTTTATTTGGAGACTTGATCAAACTTAATTGGGACATGCACATTTTTTTTCACTTTCAGAAAGGTCATGCGATACTTGAAAACATGTTCATGAAAAAAAAGGAAAAAATTTCCTTCTGCACAGAATATTAAATACATGTACTTCAAAATCATTTGCTACACACATCATGCAGTTTCTTCTGCACTCTTCAGTCATGCAAGTATCATGGTCCATGCAGGTTTCATAATGATAAAACTGCTGCAAACAATTTAACCCCCAATACTGCTAATTGTGGCTCCAAAACACAGTGTTTATCATTTTTCTCAAAAATATATCAATTGAAATTAGTGTGTAAATCAAGATTTTCTCTGTTTTTTTTTTTTTTTTAAACTAGATAATATACTTGGTCTTTAACACTTATCTAAGTTCTTATTACATTTTTGTAATCTTTTCTGAAATGTTTTTTGATTAAAATCATTTCACATGATGTCCATGGGATTTTTTGTATCTTCTGTCACTTGCATGCAGAATCTTCCATTTCTGTTGTGGATCTGTGATCAGAAAGTGGCTTCCTTTTCCTTAAAATCAAATTTTCAGAATATAATTTTTCTTCTGTTTATACTTTTGTCTGTACAAAAATAAAGCAAATAGCTCTGAAAGTGGCTTATCATGACTGGCTAAGTATTTTGTGAAAAGTGAAGAACTTTTCGGCATCTGAAATACAATTTGGTAGGAGAATGATTGTTCACTAATATATATGTATTAAATAGGTACATTCATTATTTGAATGATCTGTGAACTTGCGTGCTTGGCTACTTAAATTTACATTCAGTTTTAGATCAATATTTTGTTCTATTTGGAATTTAATCTCACTCTTCCATCTCCATTCAGAAGACATCTGTGTGAAATGCGATGACTCTAATATTGGTAAAGTTCCACCAACGCAAATAACTTATTTCAGAATATACCTTGGTCTACCCTTGAATATATAACCACTCTTTTTGTCACTTATACTGAAGCTCTTCTGTTCATACTCAATATCCAGTATTGAGAACTACACATTTTTCATGCATGTAGACCACGCAGCACTGTTAAGGCATACTGTGAAGAAATCAATGGAAAATAGGCATGTACAAATAGATAACTTTTTAATGCTGATTTATTTCTGTAAAGCTATTATATTCCCAGAGGACTTAAAAATTAATAAAAATAATATTGTAGGCCTATACCCCACTCTATATTGAATCTAGTTTGGTAACCTTATTTGGAAGTCACGTGATAACTACATATAATGTGTACAACATGTAGGTCATACACAAATTTCAATATCGCAAGGGAATATCCTAGTTCCATTATAAAATCTAAGTTATAAATTATTTCTATATACCTTGTACTTTCTGAAAAGTTCTGCTGCTTTAGAATTTGCATTTTATAAGGAAAAATTCATGTTAAGTAGCTCAAGTTGAAATATGTGTGACCTTTACAAAGTGTTTTATGCATTTATTAAATAATGCTCTTGATTTCGGGAAAGCAGCAGCACTTTTCAAGTTAAGGAAAATATCCTTTATTTACATTCGAAAAACGGTTAAGATCTATTAAGTGTATGCCCTTGCGAAAAAATGATTTAATAAGGCACCTCGATGTTAAACATAGGTCCGGAACCTTGTACATAAAAACACGGAAGAATTTATTAAATACATTTTCTGTATAATTATTGAATAATCGCACTAAACAAAGGTTTTACATTTGTATCACTTGCCTGTCTGAAATCTGTAAATAATATTCTGTTCAATAATAAAATACATTTTTCACTGTAAAAAAAATCTTCGTTCTGTCTCTCACAGCACATGAAATATGTCATTTTTACCAAAATGATGTCATGTCGACAAGTTCACTGCAATCAGTAATTTGTTAATAACCTGCTCTGTGGGATTTAACTAGCAACAAAAACTAATGCATTGGTAGTTTTCATGTTGTTTATTATGTTAAGGTAGTTTAAAATTGCAAATTATTTCATTTTCTGGTATTATGAGGAATAACTTTTTTTGTGTGATGTCATAGTAAACTTTTCCCATAAAAATTAGGCCCCACCCCCTTTATGCAGCCTTAACAATGCTACGCATTCAGGGCTTCTGCTTATAATATCAAGAAAAGGAAGTTATTGCTTAAAGATGGGTAATGCAGTAATGTAGTGTGTATACAGTACCTGGAGTTAAAGTGTGGAAATCATGATTGTCTTGACTGTCATCCATTTCCTCCTCACTCTGATTCTCATCACCAACACAAGAAACATCACCATCGATTTCCTTTACTGCCTCTGAAAAAAATGCAACTTAATTGTAACAAGCATTCTGAGAGTATTGCATTAGCAATACTAGTCCCCTACCGGCAAGTGTAATCTGGTTTCCGTTAAAATTTGAAAATGCCATAATTTCGTCAAAAATCAATGAAGTGGAACGAAATGCATACTTGATCTATAACTCATCAAGGTAAAGTCACATACCAAAAATCAGCTCAATATCTGCAAGCGTTTAGAAGAAAATTGTGGAAAACCCTTAGAAATTGAAGAGGTCGTAATTCCGTCAAAAATCAATGAAGCAGAACAAAATGCAAACTTGACCTGTAACTCATCAAGATACACTCAATACCAAAAATCAGCTCAATATCTGCAAGCGTTTAGGAAAAAAGTGCGGAAAACCAAGTGTGACTGACTGACAGACAGACAGACGGACAGACAGACTCAGAGGAAACCTATAGTCCCCTCCGGTTTCACTGGTAGGGGACTAAAAACACAAACATTTCAACCAGAACAAGCATTCTGAGAGTTTTGCCATTGCAATGCTAGTCCCCTACCAGCAAGTGTAATCTGGTTCCCATTTAAAATTGAAATGCCATAATTCCGTCAAAAAATCATAATGCAAACTTAATCTATAATTCATCAAGTTAGACTCACATACCAAAAAACATCTCAATATCTGCAAGCGTTTAGAAAAAAAGTGTGGTAAACCAAGTGGGACAGACTGATAGACATACATATGGACAGACAGAGATATGTACAGAGAGACACACAGACACGGTGAAACCTATTGTCACCTCTGGTTTCACAGGTGGGGGACTAATAATAATTCTAATAGTTTTTGCAAAGATTAAAAAATGCTGTGGACATAATTCTACATTAAATCACAGTTATCAAAAGCATAAAAGGTATACAATTCATATTAAAATTTGAACTGGTGGAATAAATACTTGTACAGTTAGTCAGAAAAACAAGCCTATATCAAAGTGCTAGGGACAGACAATTTTGCTTTGTTAAAAACTTAAGGTAAATCATTATTCATGTATACATTGAGTTGTACAGTGTAATATGTTTAAAAAAAAAAAAAAGAGAATAAAAATCACTTTGCTATTAGCTTGAATTCATTATAAGCTAAAGCGTGTTTTACTGTATATGTATAAGAAAATAATGATACCATATCACTTCTGCTGCCAGTCTAAACACTGTGTACTACCTTCTTTTGTTCATCATGACCTCATGTAGACAGAATATTATAACAGAACCCCCCAGCATAACTTGTAAATAAAATGTCATCTTAAAAAATTATCAACAGTGTGTCTTTGTTAAAGCTACAATTTATGTGTTTGTGAAACACTGATGCCCCCGTAGGGCGAGGGTTGAAGTTTCTCAAATACATGTCAAACTCTAAGGTCAAGGTGAAAAGGTCAAACTGTTGGTATCCAAAGGAAGGTGTTGTCACAAGGAATACACCTGTGAAATATGAAAGCCCTTGTGCTAACCGTTGAAAATTATAGCCGAGGTTAAAGTTTTCAAAAAGTGGGTCAAACTCTAAGGTCAAGGTCAAAAGGTCAAAAATATTTATGCCCATTAAAAGGTCTTACCACAATGAATATACAAGTGAAGGATGAAAGCCCTAGCACAACCGTTCAAATGTTATTGCAAAGGTTAAAATTTGGTAATTTTTTGTGTAAGTGGGTCAAATTCCAAGGTCAAGAGGTCAAATTAAGTGATACCCAAAGAAAGGTATTGTCACAAGTGACCTGTGAAATATGAATGTCATAGTTCCATCTACTAAAAAAGTTATGGGCAAGGTTAAATTTTTGCAGACAAACAAGATCAATAAGCAGGGCAAAAACTATATACCCCTAATACTGACTAAGGGGTTAATTAATTCTTAAAAAGAAGATTCTATGACAGAAGCAATACCTGATGCCACTTTATTCCTAACCAACATTTTTCACTCCTAGAACCTTGAGCAGAGCAGATGCTTGACTGGGACCTACATGTAGGATATCAGTGTTATAGGCACCTGGGAAACCAGCATGATAACACTTTCATCAATGAGACTTTCAGGCTTCTCAAGAGATGTGATCGTGAACCAACCAAATTCATTTCCTAGTGAATTTTTAACACTAGCTGTTATTTATTTCTTAAATTCCTAAAAAATTTTTTACCTGTAACACACTAATGATGAGGCTTTCTGACATTCTCCTAGCCATGGAACCTGGTACATTTCCATCATTAGGTCTTGCATTAACTCATTCTCTAGCATTATTTGCTGAATCTGTTGATAAACAAACAATATTTACTGTTAACTTTTAACTTAAAAAATATGACACATAACAGGTGAATCTTGATGATTTCTACACAACCATTCTTAATGTAAATATTGAACAAACAAGAGGCCCATGGGCCATAATGCTCACCTGATTAACTATGGCCCTTCTGTTCTCCGTCAGCAGATTCTTTCTTCTATTTATTCTTGTGTAAAACTGATCACATATTATAGCCCCACCCTACCACAGGGGGTCATGATTTGAATACATGTAACCTTCAATCTACTCTACCTGAGAATGCTTCCATATAAATATGACTTCATATAAATTTTCCTCTTCTTAAGAAGAAGATTTTTAAAGACATTTTCCATATGTATTCCATTATAAAACTTTTACTGCCTATTGTGGTCCCACCTTAACCACCCCCCTCTCCCAAGGCATGATTTTAGCAAATTTGTGTCTACAATACCTTTAAAGTTTCTAAAAAAATATGAAATTATGGCTTTGTTGTTCTTGAGAAGAAGATTTAAAAAAAATATTTTCTATATATTCCAATGCATTACCCTGATCCCCTGTTGTGGCCCCATGCTAGTCCCGGAGGTTATGATTTAAACAAATATGAATCTTCACTACCTGAGGATGCCTCTGTATAAAAAACGACTAATAATGGCTTTGCTGTTTTTAGGAGGAAGATTTTTGAGGATAATTCTACATATTCCTATGTAATTCTCTGATCCCTTCTTATGATCCCATCCTACCCCTGGGAGTCATGATTTGAACAAACTTTTAATAGAAGCTTTCACATAAATTTCATCGTTTCTGGTCAAGTGGTTATTGAGCAGAAAATTTTTAAAATTCAAATTTTCATGAGTTCCTTATTATCTCCCCTTAAGAGGGGGCATGGCACTTCCTCTAAACAATCTTAAATTCCTTTCACCCAAGAATGCTTTGAGGTAAGTTTGGTTGAAATTGGCCCAGTGGTTCTGAAGAAGAAGTTGAAAATGTAAAAATTAAGTTTACAGACAACATGACAGAAAGCTGCTGATCTGTAACTTGCTGGTTTGAAAAAATTGGGATAGACAACCAGAGAGCTACAGTGCCACCCATAGAAAAAAAGTGTATATTTATTGCACACAAAAAGTTGCGCTCGGTTCTGAATTAATTTCTCTAAATTTTTACCTCAACTGCACAAAACCTGGATTTCAAAATTTTCCTTAGACCTCTATCAGCTACTCTTGTAGTTGACATCTGCAAGAAGTGCGTTGGACCGAATTACCTTGCCACCCAAGATGGCAGAATAAATAGACAAAATTTTCAATGGTTTCAATTTCAGGCCCAGGAGGGCTATTGATATGATTAACAATGGTTGTAAAGAATGTTTTGTTGTGGAAAAAGTGCAAAAATATGTTAGAAACACAGGGTTAATAGTATTTTTAGATTGCAGTTGATAACAGAGAAATAAATCGAGATTCTGCTTACTTTTTTTTTGGTGCAGTAAATATACACATTTTTTAATGGGTGGCACTGTAGCTCTCCAGTCTGACAATATACTTTTTTTTTTGGAGAGATACAGTTCTGCAGCAACATGACAGACAGATGGACAGGTTAACGGACAGCTAGATAGGCAGACATCGGACACTTTTTGATCAGAAAAGCTCACTTGAGTCTTCTGCTTGAGTGAGATAAAATCTCTTTTGGAAGATTGAATTATTTTATTATTACCTGGAAGGCTGTAAACAAATTTCCTTGCATCTTTTTTACTCATCATGGTTTGACAGCTTTGTAACTGTATTAAAAGATAATTCTCTAATTAAAAGCTGTTCTTTATTTCTTCAAGGGATCTCTGTATACCTAAATTGGAAAAGAAAAACTTCATAAAAGTCATAATTAAGCTTTGGCAATCAAGTATGAAAAGAAGAGGATGAAAATGATATTTTTACCCCGGAAGGTTTGACTACAACTTCTGAAGGTACTTTGGCAACACTATGCACTTGAATTCTTATGTTGCATCGTTAACCACCGAATTGTATAATATAGAGTATATCAATTGACATGTCTAATCTCTACGGTTCAGAGGAGGAAATACAGAAATCTTTTTAAAGTGTAGGCTATTAAAATTAGCATAAATTACTTTTCATTTTTTAATTTCTTTTCGTTTCTTTGAAAACAATATGCTTTAAAAGCTTATAACTACTACACCAAAAGAACGTTCACGGTAGCTCAGTTGGTAGAGCGCTCACTCTGTGATCAGGAGGTTGTGAGTTCGAATCTCAGCCGCGACTGACCTAAGTCGATAAAAAATGGGTAGCAACTGTTTCTTCGACATGCACTCGGCACTTTGAAGTGAAAGTTGCGGGTTCTTCGGATGAGACCTTAAAAACCGAGGCCCCGTGTCACGGCAGGCGTTGGCACGATAAAGATCCCTCACTGTTCAATGGCCCCGAGTGCCGAGTAAAGGTCAAAATTGAAGCCCTTCACCGGTATATGGTGACATCTCTATATGAGTGAAAAATTCTCGAACGGGACGTAGAACAACATACATACATACTACACCAAAAAAAGCAATACAGGACATTAAATGTTGAATGATACAACAAATTCAGTTTGAAATATTTCATTACCTTAAAAATAAGCAAATATTTATGGTTGAGTTTAAATGTAGCACCTAATAATCCAGCTTTGATAATGCATGTAACTGTACTGTCTCCATGTTCAGGGGGGATTCCATGCATCTTCTGTTTGCCTCAAACATTCTAACAAAAAAATTTCATAAATTTAATTCTGAATTTATTTATTCATAGATTTGCTAACATTTTTGACCAATCAAAGTGCATGTTTTTAAAACATGTCGTTTTAAATGTTAACATGCTAGATGCAGAGACACTAAGCTAATTTCTTAGTAAATAGTTGAGTATCTGTTGTTTAATATTTTTTTTCCACTTTTAAACATTTGTTAAGCTGATCAATTACAATTATAATGTGTTAAGTTACACTATGCATTATATCATGAGTGTTTATATTTGCTGGAGACAAGAACTAAAGTGTCAAAAATGTAGTAAATTCCAGATCTTTTGATAAAACGGCTCTTGATTTTGAATAGCTTTCGGTCTCATTTAACTAATACCTGACCAGGTCTGTATAGTAATGAGTAGACCTCATCAAAAGTCAATAATTGTACATGAATTCAATAATATTTATCTGGAAGATAACATGCAGGTGAATACTGTAAATGTATTCTATTTAGCGTGTACATGTACGATATTTGAGGGAAATTAACTTTTGAGCAAGTTAGCTTAGATTTGATTTAGCACATTTCTTAATGTTCTTAATCATGAATAATTATGTGCTGCAAGACATTTAGCATTGTACTTGAATTAACAGAAGATTCTTTCAGCCAAAGGCACTAAAAAAAATACACATCCAAATGTAATACGTCTACAGTATAACATTTTTTGATTTCTAAAATGTTGGCTATCAGACAATCAAAAACCTGAGAATTATTCAATCATAAAATGTTAATCATGCGACCGTTAGGGCAAGCGCAGATACTTTTTCAGTGTACTGTTTATCATTGTATTTAGGCCTGTCTCTATAAACCGCACGTGACATTTGGTGCGTGTAGACTCTGACGGCACATGATGTGGTATGTAAGTTTCGTTACCATTAAACTGAAGAAAGAACAGTGCTTATTTTAATGAAGAATGTTTATTGGCTATTTATCTGCAATATATCCAATAAATAAAGGTGAGTTTATTATTTGTTGAACTTTTTTTGTTATTCTTGTGAGAAGGTAATTTAACAAGCAATGCATTGTGGGTCCAGAAGTTACTGTGGAAAAAAAATTTGTTTGGATCAATGTGCAATGTCCAAATTTTCTCTTCACCCACGCGTTGTATTAAGAGCTCCCAGTGATGAGCGGGGCTTTGCGCTACTCCCTGTACTCGCAATGATTATTGTTATCATAACTGTTTACTTACAATTTACATCGAAAAGGGTCTCAGTTTGTAGGATTTAAAGGGAACAAACAAAAATATTCTTTAACAAATCCTCAATGATTATTGCACACAACTTGATGAAAAAGTCAATACTTGATTTTGCATATACTTAACTTAGCAGAACTCTTTTGCGGTGAAGGTAGGAAACGACTGTTGGATTGGGGCAAATGTGCTATTGAATACAATGCAAGATCGATCATTGTGGAATTTATAAGAAAGAAATCCTGGTGAAATATCTTGCTAAACATATGCTGAACCAGCCTAATAAATCTGAGAGAGGAGCTAATCCTCAAATTTTTACATTTTTAGCGATACTTTTCACTAAGTGGACTCTTCTCATGAAATTCTCATTGAAAATTGTTACTTTTTACAGTTCATAAAATACTTTAAACTTTCCTTATTTGACAAAATAGCTACTATTTCGAGTTCAATCCTTGGCAATACATTGTACTTTTTGCATACTCATCACTGCTTATTGTTCAAATCATTTGATTGTCACTGCTGTAAACAATGTTATGCCCCAGAAATCTTGCAAGATTTAGAGCTTCCTCGACTCCCCCACAAAAGAGCAGTAGTAAGTAAGATAACTGCAAGGTACTCGTGATTCTATGTATTGTTCTGTTACATGTAGTTCAATATTCGATATTGGTATAACGACCTTACAAATTTATTACCAGCCTTACAGAAAACAGAAAACTGTTATAATTAATGTACAATGTGGAAACCTAATTTCCCCAACCAAAATATTGCCTAACTTAACCCAAATATTAATCTATTGTGATGGTTTGAAGTGTATTTATTATGTGTGTATATATTTATTTATCTGTACGTGACATATTTCATTCATATTTCCCCTATTTGTCTTAACTTGTTATATGGAGTTACAGGTATTCCCCTTTGTTTATAACCCGTCCGGATTAGGCACGCCCAGGTCTATAGTACCCGGCCGGGATTTATCATATTATACATGCATTTGTGTATAATCAGCAGCAGTCGATATTATTATTGATTATCGATTAGACATATTTCGAGGATCGAGGCTAAATTTCTATCTACAATAATGGTAATTATCACACTCTTGGATCGTAGGTGATATTGTTTCATATGTTTTACGTTTGATTTACATGATTGTTATTTTAACAGAATATAGAATCTAATTCTTCAGTCTTTAAACACTGAAATTCTTGTTTTCTTTCATCCTTCCGAACTCGGATTATGTATGGGACTGACCCCTAGACAGTCATGTTACATTATAAAAGCAATATAAACAGACAAACGAGAAAATGATTCCAGTATATGAAGAGTGTAGCTAGCAAAGTCAGCTGTCTCCCTCCCTGATGATCTGATAGCTAGCTGTATAGCTTTATATGGAAATGAGAACAAAAGGAACTGTCAAAGAACTTACTAGACAAAAGTGGGCGTTTCCACATATAAGATAAATAATTTACATCGGGATCGAAATGAAAAGATTTAAGAAAACGTAAATAAACTACATCTGCCACAATACATGTCAAATGTCTGATTGAAAAGATTAGGATACAAAAATTAAATACATTGCACCCGGCCTGCTTTAAAAAGAATCATATCATATGATATGCAATTATAATGAACTTTGCAGAACTTAATTTAAAAATTGTTCGTATATAAACAAACACACCAAACATGCTAAACAGCTGAAATAAGAAACCTAGGCAATTCGGAAAGTCTTATCTGTCGTAATAACAGATATAAAACATTCGACAAGAAATTGCGCAGATGTAGTGTGTCTTTAGAAAGACTTCAAGTCTGCAGAACATAATTACAAATTCATTTCAAGGAATCAAACAAGGATGCGATTTTTTCTTGCCCAAAATTATGCCTTACCTGAGTAAGCTGTTTACATCGGATGTGTATAATGCCCTTATAGTACAATGTCCTGACTGATTGTAATAAATAGTTTTTAGGTGCACAAACAATATCATTTTTATTGGAAATAATAATAAAATTATTATTCTCTATAAGAATCATGGCGATATGCAAAATAAAATATATAAAATTTTTATTGGACATAATAAAAATGACAGGAGTACATGTATAATGTCCTGATTTGGGGTATAATGACCTGATTTGATATGTCCTTCATAACAATTTAAATTGGTATTTATATTTATATTCTGTTTTTTTTCATAAGATTTTTTAAGATTGAAATTAATGTGTTCACATAAAAATTGGGATAAATATAAATTTATTCTTGGGAATTTCATTTTTCATCTTTTTGTACTGGATGTCAGTTGAGATATATAAGGCTCACAATTTGGAGAAAATGACAAATAAGGCTGGTTTGACAGTGAAAATGTGATAAATGTTTACTTTATCATTAATAAATTTTGTACAAGATGTTTTCATCCATATTATCTTTTTGAATAAAAATTTTTATTCCTAACACATGACCTTAGAGAGACCATGCAATGTGATTTTTTAAGGAATGCTGTAAAATGATAATAATTAAGAAAAAATGTGGAAAACATAATTGTCACTTAATGAATTGAACTGTCATATCAGTAATGTGGTAGCTTTTTTAATCAATGGATGCTTCACCCTGAGTTTCTTTTATATATATAAACAATTATGAAAACAATAACTTAATATTCAATTATTTTGCTCTTTAACACTAGATAATAAGTGCATTTTGAGTAACATTGAGGTAGGTCATTATTGTATTAAGTAAAACCCTTTTGCTATATGTCTAATGCCCTGTTAACACAGAGAGTTTAATTCGCAGTAAATTAATGCGAAGTGAAATAATGTGAATTAAAATAATGCGAATAAGAATGCATTCGGATAACAGCAAAAGCGAAGTAAGCTGATGCGAATTAAAATTTTGTTTCTAGGCTATGATAGCTTTTCAGTAAGGCTATTATGACATCATTTGTAAATCATGTCATGTATGCAGAGCAGATCATTTGACATAACATATATAATCATAGTGACTGTATACATTTTAGTGATTTACATTACTTTCCTTTTTTTTCAACCAAAAATAGCACAGATACATAAATCTAACCACCGACATGTGGCCTTTCAATTGACTTAATTCTGGCCTACGCATGCGTCAAAATTTAATTTGAATTAGCTTTGCTTAGGGTTCACATGGAGCTAATGCAATGTAATTTAATGCGCAGTAAATTAATTCGAATTAAACTAATTCACACTAAATTCTCCATGTGAATGCGCTTCAAATTTAATTCGCAGTAACTTGTGTTTAATTCAAATCAAACTCTCCTTGTGAACAGGGCATCATTATATGCCCTGTTCACATGGAGAGTTTAATTCAAATTAAACGCAAGTTAATTTACTGCACATTAAATTACTTCGCATTAGCTCTGCGTGAACGCTTCAAGCTAATCTAATTCGAATTAAATTTTGATGCATGTGTTTGTATGTTGTTTAACGTTCCTCTGGAGAATTTTTCACTCATATGGAGACACCGCATGGTGCAGTGGTTAGAGCGTCTGCTCTAGAGTCGCGAAGTAAGGAGTTGATCCTTACGTTGTGGGTTTGAATCCCACTGTGGGACGTGGAGACCGGTCCTTCGGATGAGACTGTATAGACCGAGGTCCCATGTCGCAGTAGGTGCTGGCATGAAAAAGATCCCTCACTGCTCAATGGCCGTAAGTGCCGAGTATAGGACAAAATTTCCAGCTCCCCACTGGCAAGTGGCGGCGTCTCCTTATGAGTGAAAAATTCTTGAGAGGGATGTTAAACAACATACAAACAAACAAACATATGGAGACACCACCACTTGCTGGTGGAGAGCTGTGAATTTTGTAATATACT